ATATATACTATATAATGTTTTACATACGGATTTACTCGTCACTCTAATTAAATGTGGACTACTGCAAAACATTCGTTCGGATATTCTCCATACGGTATAACACATTCTTTTGATTTAGCCCTAGAATTTATAATCAAATTTGCGGACGGTGTTCGAAGAAATGTTCATAATTTTCATTTTCCGAATACACATTAAAAGCCCAACGAATAACGTTGTCTAATGGCCTATAATTACTTTAATGCGTATAAGCATATACCTCGCAACATCAAACTTGATTTTAACGTGATAGAAATATGTGTATTTGTATGATGATTTTTTTTTACATCTGGAACAGTCGCGATGATTTGAATTGTTGGAATAAGTCAGAAAAAGTTAGTTATTTAAGCAAATAATAACGACGGTTATATGTATAAAGTTTTTATATAACTTCAATAAGTGAAAGACGAGTGTAATGGTATAAAATCTCAATGAATTAAACGACAGAGTACTTCATAACTGTGTACAATACATCCTTATCAAATCGATTTCCATTTTACCTATTATTATGCAGATAAACGCAATGACTTTCACGCGGCAACAAGTAGAAGTTTACATCAGGCTCTATACTTTTATATATATATATGTATGTGTACATATATAATATATATCAGAATTTTAACGTAAAATAATTTATATATTTATATTTTCTTTTCTTTGATACAAATCATTTGTACATTATTTCTCTGGTGTAATAATTATTCGTATTATCTGTTTAGGATCTTCGGAATTGTTAGATAAAGAAAAATCGAAATTACATAAATGATGAAACGGTTTTACGCCATTCCATCACCAGAAGAATATAAACAGTAACCATACTATACAAAAGTAAGTAGTGCTGCTATAAAGTATTTATAAATATTCAACAATTATTTTTAGGTCACAGATCTTGCAGGAATTATATACGTTTCACGTACAGAACAATATATACATATACACAATTATCACACTGCCTCGGCATAAATCAGTAACGCTGATATGACCACATACGTCTCGCTATCTTTCTAGCTTATTTTTTTACTAACTTAATCCTCTTAAAGAGCAAAGTGATAACAATAAGTTTTCATAAACTTCATTAACAAGAGACCATAGAGATATAGCTTTAGGATAGCATGTGTAACGTTTAAGCTAATGTGAGCTAGCTTTCTACGGAAACACAGATCGAAGAACCACACGATATTTTTAGAATAATACATTCGTATACACACACATATCACATACATATTAATGCCATATATTTCCGTAGATTTGCTTTTCGCATGCACACAAAACGAAAAATTCAACAGATATAATCTTTTTTTTTGAAGACTTTTCTTGAAATCGAAAGAAAAATACATGAGAATAATTAAATAACGAAATTAAGCTGTTAAATTCGAACATTTTGATTCAATCGATTATTCTAACATTAGTATCATTTGTGGATTTACAACAAGATTGTTATGTGCTGTTTAAAAATACAAGTAACACACTGACAATGAGAGGTAGAATTGCAAAATCTCTGAATATATTTCGAATGATTTTTATCGACACATTAATCGTTAGCTTAATCAGATCGGACGTAATTTCTCACGATATGCAATTATTGACACTGATTGAAACATGAAACAATATAGGCCTTGAAATTTCTCGAATCTTCACCATGTAGATTTTAAGAAATGGAGCGCAAGCATACTCTTGAGGAATTCTCAATAGATAAACATAAATGAAATTCTACCTTGATCGATATATAATCTGATGGATATTTATCGTTAGTATCATTAATATTCATATATCACTGCTATCCGCGGGAAGCTAGATATCAGACATTAGAATCCGACCAAAATTTCGATTTCGGTAAAAAATTAGGATTTCAGTTTAATTTCGATTTCGGCCAAAATTAACAGAAAAGGGAGTTTTTGCAATACCATTTATTCAGATATGGTGAACGCTAAAGTCACATTATTTTCTTTTTAACAATTAATTAAGAAAAGGATAATGTGACTTTAGTGTTCTGGATTCATGTTATTGCAAAAACTTTAAAATTTCAGTGGGTAAACCGAAACTGTACAAGTTGCAAGTGAACACGTTTAAAAAACAATTAGAGTACATACATTTGTCATGATTTCTGAAAATCATACAGTCTCTGTAAAATTAATCCAAAAATATCAATTTCGACTCTGGTCGAAAAAAATGACTCCATTAGCTTCTCTCTTTTTCGCTTTTTTTTTTTTAAGTAAGACATCTAAGTTTCGGTTTCGTTTTCGGCCGGAGGTCAAAATGTGATTTCGGTCGGACTCTACCAAACACCATGTTGTTGTCTGTAGTGTATCGAGTTGTAATTTTTTTTCACAACATACTTTCATCAATTGGATACCAACCATACAGTTTTGAATTGTAACTCCAATATAATACTAATTTAAAATCGCTCGTTAGGTGTATATGTCTCCTTTTCTAGCGCGTATCTAGCTTTTTAATAGGGCATAAAAACGTATCATATGACAAATCCGAGATACAAATAAACGGAGGAAATTAATGTTCCGGACATCGCGTGTGTTGAATACGAGGCGTATTTTTCGATGGATTCGCGTTTTCGCAAACATGCACGACTATGCCTGGCTGCCCTGAGCCTCCTGGATGTATCTCGTGTGAGTCGCCTGCAATATCGATAATTATTTATATAAAATACGAAATTAGTATAAGTTTAAAATAATAAGAATCAATAGTAACCTGCTGATAAATTGGCTATAGCGGTTAATAAATCGTAATTAACAAGTGGTTCTCCTTCTTCACGTGGCTTCCAACCGACCGGAGGAGAAGCAGGAGGAGATATGAGAAATTGTTTGGTAAGCGCGGGTGGTTGAAGATGTTGATCCTCCATATCTATAATTTATATTCCATATTTCGTTAATATGTAAATTTTTTGCACTTTATTAATTTCATCAGTGTGATGATATTTAATTCCAAAATTACGTACCTATAGGTGTTACTGGTTGTGCAAAGTAACAATTAATATCAGTTTCTCCAAAATGCGACTGATGCAGCTGTATCCTCGCATTTGCTGCGGCACTGGGGGAACTGTAGTTTACTCTCATTCTTCTGAAGGATCTGAAGTATTGAAACGTAGTATCTTCTCCAAACTGTTTGAAAAGATTTTCTATGGACGACTGTAAAGACATAACATCAGACAATGTAATAGAGGTTTCTTCTTACTTCGGGATATTTCATATAAATTATTTATTACCTTCAAATCGTCATCTTTAAAAACTCGAGGATCTACATTCGTTACAATTACAGAAGTTGGTAGATCTTCATCGTGAACTAACTCGTCAATCGATCTAATATTTGTATCATCTTTTTCTTTCTTAAATTTTAGCTCTAACTGTTCATAGTTTGGATGTAAATTGGGTAAACCATCCACTTCATTAATTATTATATTTTCAGTGTCTTCCAGTTCCTCTTCCTCTGTCGTATCTCTACTGCCACGTTTTTCCTCCATTTTTATTTCCTGTTCTGCTTAGAGAATAAATGAGAATAATCAAATATTAAGAAAAAATTTGAGATTAAAAAGTTAAGAGCTTAGAACTTTATAGTCCAGCATTAATTATATGCATATATGTACAAGATTGAATGAAGAAAATATTATTCATATTTATTCATATACTGAATGTTTGCCAATGAAAATTAGATTGCTGCAGGAATATCTTAATTAATAAAATTGAAACTTTATGAAATGGAAGATGTTTCTAATAAATTTTAATAAATCTATAAAATAAAACGATTAATTTTACATGTAACTTATGCTTTATTAAGTTGTACATTTTGATATTTACATATTATCTAATAATTAAGAAAGACGCGGAGCGAGAGTAGATCCGTTTTGTCGAGCACGCAATTATGTGAGAGTGAATATAAGTATATATGATTTGACGTTATCATTGAAAATTGTTCATGGAAGGTCTATTATTGTGCCGAAAATGATGATGCCAGACCGTCTCTTACCTCTCGACTAGACACAAACCGAGGAAGAGACCGAGCACCGAGAACTGGATGTTCTCAAGACGCTGCTTCGTCACGGGTGTATTTATGTTTCACACATAGGCAAAGTCTACTCCATCGTCTCCATCTCGGTGGATCTAATCACCACGTCGTTCCGACATTCCCGCATTCGCGTTTCACTGCCACCGACGTCTCTTCACCGATGGTGTTCGCTATTTCATTACCGCGACGTAGCCGCGCGTCATCGTCGATTTCAGGGTAACAGAAACAACGAACAATTCGCGCGTCTCATCCGTATCGCGATCCGATCGAATACCATCATCGGCTAGGATCAGGTTAGGTACGTGCGGGCACGAATAAAATTGTTAAAGACTAATTGGATAACATTGTCCAATCCGATTTCATTGGACATGACGTCAATTGGCCGTTGAAAAGACAATCTCTAGAAATTCCTAGAGCAGCTCCACAAATTCTTTATCCAATAGCCAATTAAAATCTTTGACAACTCTTCGTAACTCGAAACTAGAGTCTCACAGGGAGAGAGTGGCAAATTGCATCATGTGAATGCCCACGTCCAATCAGAACAGGGGTCACGTGATCAGTTTTCTCCAATCTCTTCCATACCTTATGGAGTTTTGATGCCCATGTCCAATCAGAGGAGGCAGGTCACGTGATGCAATTTCTCTCTCGATCTTTATTCGAAACACCTTAAAATCGGCATTACTGACATTTTTAATTCAAATTATTATTAATAGCAAAAATGTTAATGTTGATTTATAGATGTAGCACTTATGTTTTAATTTTCAAGGGTTGTATAAATAATGGATAAGTAAATTTACATGTTTATGTTTTATACACATGTATATATATATATATAT